AAAATACTTTTTAAATGTATTTTTAATGTTTTCTTAATTTGTTAAGAATTTTCCTCCTTCTTTTATTTCTGATATTATTTTATTTTTTTCTTTCCTTAACTGTTTAGCTAACATCTCACTAGGCTTGTTTCCCAATTCAAAATATTTTTGTTTTGCACATTGCAGTTTTTTCTCTAGTTCTTTCATCGTCATTTTTTTCAGTTGATTTTCTAGTGCTTGAATTTCATATTCTATTTTTCTGTTTCCTCCATTCTCCAATTTTAGTTCTTTATCTCTTAATTCTCTCAATATATTTCCTTCTTCTTCCTTCTCCCTCCTTCTTTCCTCTATATTATATTTTATCAAAAGACCTCTGGCTACACCTTTCCGAATACACTGGATACATCTACATTTATGAGGTTTTTTAAAAAAATTACGTACCAGCAATTGCAAGAAAGCTTTATATTTGACATAAAAACAATAGGAACTGGAATTATTGATAGTGAATTTGAAAAGATATTGAATTCAGGAGATAAACGTAACATTTCAAAGTTTTATAAAATGTTACTAAAAATAGAGATGGAAGGCGAAGTAATTAAGGTGTTGGTGGTAAAATGGTCTCAAGACTTAGGACAGAATTTTAATCTTGACCATTGGAAGAATAATAATAATAATAATAATAATAATAAAATTTATTTAATACCCCGCCTATTGGAAGACTGTGTAATAAGAGATTAAACTGTGTAATAAGAGATTAAAATTCATCCTAAACTCTAATCTAAAAGAATTTTTTTATAAAATGCAGTTTCATTGGTATCTCACCTCATGTAAGTATGCAGAAAGATCTTGTAGCACCTTTGAGACTAATTAAAAGAAAGAAATTGGCAGAATGAGCTTTCGTAGACTTCAGATTACTTCCCCAGATTCATGGACCAAAAGCATCTGAGGAAGTAGACTGAAGTCTACGAGAGCTCATGCTGCCAAGATCTCTCTATATACTGATTCTACAGACTAACACGGCTATATCTTTGAATTTCACCTCATATAAGTTATCAAAAATGAATAATTGAATGAATAACAATGAATAATTGTTGGAAAAGTGAGAAATCAGTGGACACTTTTTATCATATGTGTTGGGTAGGTAAAATTTCAAAAGAATATTGGCAAGTAATACATGATAGTGTAGGTGAAATATTAAACATTGAAATTCCAACAGACCTCAAAATGTACCTATTAAGAATTATTAGAGATGAGAAGGTGGAAAGAAAATTTGGGAGACTATTATTTTACACCCTGTTTAAAGAGATAGGTGTTGGCTTCCCCTGTTGAAAATATACACAACTTATCTCTTGGATAATTTCAAGGTTAATGTTGTAATTTTGTATTGATAATGCGATGTATATACATGCATATACTGTTGAATGTTTGAATATTGTGTTTTTTATGTGCTGGCTGTCTGCCGTAATAAATTTGATTTGATTTGATTTGATTATTTTACATGACAGCAGCAGCAGGGAGTTTATGCAGCCTATTGGAAAAGCAGAGAACACCTTATGGCAGAGGTAGGCAACCTTTTTGAGCCAGGGGCCGGGTTGCTGTCCTTCAGACAATTGGGGGGGCCGAAGCACCATAAATAAATAATATATATATATATATATATATATATATATATATATATATATATAATTGAAAAAAATATGCATGCACACTCTCTCGGCCCCAGAAAAGCCATGGCAACCCCCCTGTGGAGATTTTGCCAAGAAAACCCCAAGAACAAGTAATAACAACAATAATCAATATCATCATGGTGGGCGGCGGCGGCGGCGGCGGCAGGGGGCAGCAGCGACGGTGGCGCCAGGACCGGCCTGGGGCCTCCGGCCCCCGGGCCTTAGATTGCCTACCCCTGCCTTATGGTAAAAACCTGGTTAATGAAATTATATGATTATACGGAGACTGATAGATTGACTTATTTGCTAAAGGAGAAAATCTTAGATGACTTTAAAGAAGAATGGAAACCTTTGATATTATATTTACAACACAAATGAGGATCAAGTTTTGTAATAGGATTGGAATAGTTGATTGAAAGTGTGTATATAGTGGAAATATATTTGAAATTAGAGTAAATCGTAGATAAGAATTCAAACATATGACGTAAATAATTAGTAATAGGTAAATAATTATGAGGGAAGTAGTAAAAAAATAGATCATAGAATCATAGAATCATAGAATCATAGAGTTGGAAGAGACCACAAGTGCCATCCAGTCCAACCCCCTGCCATGCAGGAACTCCCATTCAAAGCATCCCTGACAGATGGCCATCCAGCCTCTGCTTAAAGACCTCCAAGGAAGGAGACTCCACTACTCTCCGAGGGAGTGTGTTCCACTGTCAAATCACCCTTAATGTCAGGAAGTTCCTCCTAATGTTGAGGTGGAATCTCTTTTCTTGCAGCTTGCATCCATTGTTTTGGGTCCTAGTCTCTGGAGCAGCAGAAAACAAGCTTGTTCCCTCCTCGATATGACATAGTAATGAAAAGAGGGAAGTAGTAAAAGACAAGATAGTAACGAAAAGAAGACATGAAAGACAAGGAAGTTTATTTTGCTCTTTTTGTTACGTGTTGTAGAGTAGCTTGTTTATTTTTCGGGGAGGGTTGTTTGTTTCATGTATTTTGTTTTGTTTTCTTTTCAATGGTCAATGTTTGTCTTTACATTTGTGTTTTTTGTTTTTTTCTTTGTTTTTAATAAATAATTTATTTATTTTTTAAAAAGGGGATATGCAAATGTTGTGATTCAGAAAGTGTTATGTCAAAATTGTGCCTCTGTCCTGCAGAGGATCTCTGATAAGTGTGTGATTAAAAAAAGAAGAAATGACTTAGGAAGTTTTACTTTTTTAAAAAAAATATGTTGATTCCTGTTGAGTTGTTATTTTCTGCTGTTATTTTTTGTGTCTTAATGGCTAATATTTATATTTAAAGCTTAGCTGTACAAACTGTTGTAAACTGATAAGATGCTTTCTTTCACTTGCTCCTTCTCTTTCTCTCTGTGGGACAAACAGCTGTGATGGTCCATGGGAAACATACACACAATCCATGTTTGCGTAATATATTCAGACCAACAAAAATAGCAGGATGACTATCTGAGTAAATCTCATTTTATGGGGAAACAAACAAACAAACAAACATTCAAACCCTGATCTGGGGACACATTTTATGGGATATATAACTTTGAATACATTTTCAGAGGGCTGGAGCTTTGCCACAATGAGACATTTCAAAAATACTTTAAAATTTCAACAAAATTTATGACTGATGGTAGAATCCAAACATATAGTTGCGTTCGTCTGGAACATTAGTATGCAAAAGGATCTTGCAGCACCTTTGAGACTAACTGAGAAAAAGAAGTCATAGCATAAGCTTTTGTAGACCTTTTGTAGACATTGCAAAAATAATACAATTTGACAACCCTTTAATGCTATGGAATTATGGAATTTGTAGTTTGTTATGGCACCAGAGTTTTCTGAGAGACAAGGCTAAATATCTCACAAAGCGACAAACCCCAGATTTCTATAGCATGGAGCCATGGCAGTTAAAGTGGTATAAAACTGCATTATTTCTGCAATGCAGATGCAGCTTTAGTCTACTTCCTCAGATGTATTAGATAGGAGCCTTTGGGGCTGTATTAGCAGAAGACATTCAGTAACTGGAACAGTTAATAAGGAAGGTCAAAGTGCAAAGGCAGGTCTGATGCTGAACATA